TAATTATATATATTTAATCTATATCAGTCTACGTGTAATTTGATATTAATATATATAATTATATATATTAATAGTAAAATACACCTAGACAGTATATGTGTGTGTATGTGTATATATATACTTAGATCATATATATATATAATGTGTATATATATATATATATTGTAACGGACCGTTTCAGTACACAAGTGGTTAAAACCGTTTAGGCGATCGTCCCCCTTTCCAGAGATGCAGGCACAGCTACTGCAGAACACCAAACCGCTGAACAGGAAACCATACGAATGCTGTAAACAGCCGAATAGGAAAAACCATACGAATAGGTTTACACTCCTAGCAGTCAAACTGGAACAGCATACAATAAATCCCCCCAAGAATGAGACAGAGCTCTGTGTTGAGGGTCAAGCAGTGAACAGACAGAGCTGTGGGTTTATTGTGCTTATGTACACATTCTTACACATTAGTACCACCCACAGGGTTTTGGAACACAACCAATAAACACATACAATACACTCAGACACTCCCACACAAATTCCTCCCCTCTGCATGTGATTCAATTACCTTACACAATGGGTAATATAATTTAGCACAAGCAGAGAAATACAAATTTTCCACATTATTCATAACTTGAAAAGTATGCATTACATTCACATAATTCACTTACATTTTCAGAATCAGCATACTCCAAATACAAACATATGTCAAAATCATACAATTTGGTCCAGTGGTTCAAAAGATAGATCGTAGTCCTTTGTGACCACAGGAAGCATGGCTTTTCTGCCCAAAACCAGTTCCACAGAGTCTTCTATCCTGGAGATAATTAGAAGTAATCCAATTATCTCCAAAGACAGAGGCAAAACTCCATTGAACACATGGCAGCAAAAAGACAGTAAAATACAATAAAATACACAAGGTTACATTTATGAAATAAAATACAGACATGCAACATATGCCCAGATAGCTTAGGTCTGAGTGCACATTATTACTGAATGGCGCTCAGAGCACACACATACAGTTCAATTGCCATGGAGCCAAAGTCTTTTCCATAGTCTTTCATTGTACGAATGGGCTCCATGGCATAGCTATCTGGGGTATCACTGCTCAAACAGGGCAAGCACCAAATGACCCGGCTTTCTTGTCTTTGCAGGGGAAAATCAAGCCTTTTAACATGGGGCCATAATCCAAAGGCAACAGGCGAGCAACCAGGCTTCTCCAATGCAATGTGGCGAGATTGCTCTCGTCACATATATGATCTAAGTATATATATATATATATTTTTTTTTACACGTATTAAACTTTTTTTATTTTATTAACTTCATTTTCATCCAGCAGGGGGACCACCTGTAATTACAGGCAGCCCCCCTGCTGGCAATACAGCAGCCAGCTATCCCGGCCATGTGATTGTGAGGTCCTCGCAAGGACCTCACTCTCACATGGCCGGGGGGGCTGCCAGGGGGTCGGACGTGCCGCTGGGGGCTCCCTGGGAGTCCCCCCAACCGCGATCGCCGGCGTGGGACCACCGGCGACCGGGTAAGTATAGAAAGACCGGAGGGCGTACTATTATGTCCGACGGCGTTTAGAGCTGCCTAAAATAGGGCGTAATAGTACGCCCTCCGGTCTTAAGGGGTTAAAATAGAAAAGAGGGTTGCACTTAATCATAAATATTACAGGGTGCTAACTGAGTATGGGTCTGCATACCCCATAAAACATATGTCAAGGGAAAAAAAACTCAGGCACTCACTGTGATAAGTTAAGCAGCTTTAATGGATACCGCAACGTTTCAACCTGTTATCGTCCATTAAGTTTAGTGTAAGAGGTCAGTTCTTATATTTATTGGTGGGTGTTCTGTTCTTTAGAGGTAGGGAGGGATTCCCTGAGTGCTGATGGTGCCAAGTATTAAGTAGTTTATTTAACTTAATGTTCAATGTCTCATTGCTTAATGATTGCTAAGGTATGTTTCATTGCTTCAGTATTGCAGGTTACTACCTCAAAATAGCAATCATAACTATCCAAATACAATGTGTATATAATACAGTTGTAAAGACTCATTTTTGCATTATTAATAGTATCTTTATTTTCAGGATAATACATATGCTATAAATACTGGTATGGTAAAACTATTATACAGAGTTGGAAAAGTAAACAAATAAGTTAAATTGACATATATTTATATATAGATGATATGATAAATAATTCTCTAATGTCCACCTATTTGAAGATATCATTTTAAGTCCATGTCTATCAGGGTGACATCGCTATGGCATTACAACATAAGCCTAACATAAGCCTATAATTCACAATGGCAATCTGAATTTCAATATATACACATCATTCAGTGCAGCCAAACAATAGGCAATCTCAAACCAAACTCATTATAAAAAAAATTGATAAATAAAATATATGCTTTTAACACTGGTTTCTCACTATCATTAAATCTACGAAGGTTTCATTAAATATTTTCAGGTCTAAATATACCTGTTTCCAAACACTTTTAAAAAGGACTATGTACATTAAGTTTTACAAAACACCTTAAAAAACATAGAATGAAAGACTAGAGCACAAACAAGTTAACTTATTGAAAAATACTCACAAAATTGTTATTTAAGATACTAGTTTTGGAAACTACCTTTACCAGTGCCAATGTGGAAGCCTATATTTGGCATAAACTTACTGTTATGTTAAGGAAAGAATATTAAATAATCTAAATATTGGAAAACAACAAAAAAAAACCACACTCAAACAATATACACTGTTTCAGTATTAAATTAGATAAAAAATATTGTAGTGCAATTGTCTAGGGGGTGGAGCGATGACGTGTGGGACATAACACGTACCGCTCAGAAAGAGACGCACCATCAGCCCGATGATCTAAACCATGAGGATTTGGGTGTGTAGACAGGATTAATGCTGTCGGGCTGATTAAATGCTGTGAAGTTGAGAAGTTGCGAAGCTGCCCTTGATGCTGGGGATGTTAGAAATGCTCGAGACCTAAGATTGGATATTTATGAGTAAGTGACACTGAACTTTGTCTGCTCGGGCTGTGGAGGCCTCGGAGTTCCCTGAGAAAATACAGCTGAAGGAAGGATTTACAGATAACAGAATACAGCACTCAAATGCAGGCTTATATAAAAAAAAGACACCTCAAAATACATGTCATTAATGGTGTCTAACTATCCCTGAGGAGAGTGGAAAATATAATTAAGAAAGAAAGGAGTAGGGAGCAGGGGAAAATCATTGGGCAGAATCCTTTTTTTTTATTTATTTTTTTATTTTTATTACATTTTCATGATTACAAACCACAAACACAGTTGTGTTCAGGCAGAATACAGTTTGTATACAGTCTAAAAAAAAACATAAAGGGAAACTAAATCCTTGGAACTCCCCTGACAAATATTCAAATAAAAACGGCTTTGGGCAGCTTAGCAGTTGAGTGAAGATTCTGAGGCTGACTATAATTTTATGGCAAGACAGGAGGTTTCATATTTGCTTATCTTTCTTTACTGTAACTCCCAGCAGCAAAGAAACAGTTAACAATATTGTATGAAAAAATTCAACCAATCATAACACATTACAGGAACAATATAGTGTCATCAGACTCCTCCAACTTCCTCTTTCTTTGCTGCTTGCCTCCCAGGTGAGTCTACTCCAATTACATTGCCTTACTAGTTTAAGTTTATTATATATTTTATTTATATTTTGTAATTTGCAACATCTACTTCACCTCAGCAAACTTTGTTTTTTAATTTATGTCACCTTTTTTCCTACACACATATCCTCATTTCTCATTCATTTGCATACTTTATTCAGTTTAGTGTTTTTTCCCTTTAAATATTTCGTCACTTATTTTTCTTCACATCTCTATCCTTAACCGTTTGTTTTTTGAGTTTGTTTTCCCCTTTAGCCCCTTAAGGACCAAACTTCTGGAATAAAATGGAATCATGACATGTCACACATGTCGTGTGTCTTTAAGGGGTTAAAGGGATTTTTTCTTTGAAATCTTCTGCTTCAGTCAGCTGGCCGCTGCTCTCTCCTCAGAGGCAGAGCCGCGGCCCATTCTCGTCAATCTCATCAGCCGCGGACTCCATTTCCCATGAGCCCGCGGCTGCCGCTTCCCGCCTTACTCTCCTCCCGCCTACTCGCGTTTCCCTTGTGACACGTTTTTTCCCGCCCTTTCAACGGCGGCGATCTTGTGGCAGCCATTTTTTCAGCCCCAGTGTTTCTTCCACGGATCCTGTAAACACTATCACGCGCAAGGACTTCATTCCAACTTGTGGGTACATGTATTGCCTTGCTTGTGACAGTTAGGTTGCTGCCTTTCTGCCTCCACCTCATCTTATATACGCATCTCATTTAAACGATCAGTATACTGATCCATTTCTCATCTGTTTTTTGCAGGCTTTGCTCCACACAAAGGACCAGGCTGCTGTAATCTGGGTGAACCCCTCTCCCTAATTTTGTATGATTTGTAGTGTGGTTGACATTGTATTACTATTATAATTTGCCAAACCTTGTGTGGCTGACCATTCTTCCCTGTTGTGGGTGAACCCCACTTACATACTTAATACACAAACTGTGTAAAATATCTATGTGGCTGACACCACCTACTGAACACACTACTGTGTGAAATATCTGTGTGGCTGACACCACCTGATTTATTTTGTGGGTGATCCCCATTCTCTCACTGTACATACTTTATATATATATTTTATTGCTGTTTCTAGTGGGTGATCCCCACCTCATTACATATACAATATCTATATTGTCCACCATCTGTCTAATAGGGTGACCCTCTATTAATTACCCTTTAATATTTAAAAATTGTGCCAATCATTTGTGGGTGACCCCCACTGTTTTTTGACATCTCGTGGGTGACCCCCACCTTTCATATAATTGAGTGGCCTCATCTTTAATTGATAACCCTAACATTTCTACTCTGTGTATATAATTCATCTACACAGTTTGCATATATTCTGAGACACATTATGTCAGACTGCCAAGACCCTGCCATCTCTGCCGAACTTAAGGAATGGCTTTTCTCCACTATCGCGGAGTCCATTCCTAAGGCTTTGGCAGCCTACCATGAACGTACCACAGAGGTGCACCCCTCTTCACGACAACCCTATGATTCTGAAGATTCCCATATCTCCGACCAAGACAGCGCCCCGCGCAAGAGACCCTGGAAAGGGAATAGCGCTACTGCGGGCAAAGGCAAAGCTCCTGCGAAGGGCATTAAACATTCTCACCAATACGTTACGCAGGATGCTGCAGACCCTCTAGAGGGTTCTACTTCACGTTTGACTGGCCATATTTTCAGTGATTATGACCCCAACTACTCTGATGAGGATCCCATGGTGAATGCGCCCCAGGATTCCTCAACATCAGAATTCGTAAAAGAGACCTTCCCGGGTCAGGATTCCAAGAGTATCCCTTCATCTAAAGTGCCTGACTCAGACACCCTCTTGGATGCCTCGGGCCTTCCCTTTTTTGACCCAAGGGTGATTCGTCACCCGCGCTCAGCAGAATGAGCTCCCCCGGACCATATTGCTAATTTCTGTAAAATGTGGCTTTGCAAGCCCCTTGAAAAGTAAATAAGAAACAAACTAAGGGCTGAATACCCGAGACCAACTATTCCAGGCAAAGTTGCCTCTACCCCTGAATTCAACCCCATGCTTGCCACCTACTTGACGAAATCCGGTAAAGACCCTCATAAGGGTATTGAGCAGGGTTTGAAAGCAACCCAAGACAAACTATTGGACATTTCAGGTCCTATAATTCAAATATTTATATTAGCAGATGAGGCACTCACTAGCGGTGAACTTGATCCGCACATTATCAGAGAATGGGCGCAGAGAGCCCTATGCTTATTGGGCAACTCCAATGTGGCTATTTCGATTGAGAGATGCAAAGCGGCACTTTATAAAATCGATGCCAAATTGGTAGACTTGAGTACTAAGGAACTAGGCCCAGAGGCCAATGGTCTACTGTTCGGTAATAGTTTCATGCGAGACCTCTCCAAGCATGTCTCGGTCTTTACCACACTCAATAAAGCCCAGTCCTCCCTACGTAGGGTTTTCCGCTCCCAAACTCATCGTTTTTCTGGGAGAGCTGGTCGGTCCAGGGGCCGAGCTACCAGTAGAGCAGCCTTTACAGGCTACAGGCCCCGACCCACAGATTATTGGTCCACAGGATATACACGACCCTACCACAGACAACTATTCAGCACCAGAGGCTCGATACGAGGACGTGGCTCTGCATCCCTGCGCGGACGCACTGCTTCAGGTAATGGACCTTGCTTATTTGAAACATGTACTAATTGCAGGTCGATTAACATTCTTTTTCCAACAGTGGAAACTACTTTCCCAGGATCTATGGATCCTTCATACAGTCAGAGGTTTCAAAATAGATTTTTTCACACACCCAGTGCAACACTCTCCTCCGACATCTTTAGAGATGTCAAAAGCAGACACTCTAACCTTAAACACAGAACTAAACAAACTATTACACAAAGTGGCGATCAAACCTTTGCCTTTCCCTTGCACCTTTCTCAGCAACATATTTCTCGTTCGGAAAAAGACGGGAGACCACAGTCCCATTATCAGCCTCAAAGCATTGAATCACTTTATCACATACTGTCATTTCAAGATGGAAGGTATCCATCTTCTCAGAGACTTGCTCTGCGTGTGAGACTGGTTCTCCAGATTCAACCTCAAGGATGCTTACCTGACAGTCCCAATCGCACCAAGTCATCGTGCCTTCCTCCAATTCCTGTGGCAAGGCGACATTTGGCAGTTCACCTGCCTCCCTTTCGGACTTTGCTCCGCCCCTTGGTGTTTCACCAAGTTAATGAAACCGGTCATGGCGCTCCTTCGTTCTCAGGGAATACGTTCCATTATATATTTATACGATATCCTGATTATGGCCCAAGACCAACAATTACTTCGCAAACACACGCACATGACCTCTGCCCTCCTTCAAAACCTGGGTTTTGTTATAAATTGCCAGAAATCAGATCTGGAACCATCTCAGATAGTCCAGTTTCTGGTTTTCCAAATAGATTCGGTTCAGGCAACTCTACAGTTGCCCTATTCCAAAATCAAAAACATAAAGAAAGAGATTAAAAAATTACTCAGTTCACAATGACCTTGGCTTCGCGACCTAGCACACATTCTGGGTCTCCTATCCGCATCAATTCAGGCTATTTTTCCAGGGCCCTTACACTACAGAGCAATGCAACGGCTGAAAACCTCCTACTTACATCGCTCGACCTCTTACGATCAATTCATTTCCCTGACGGACGAAGTTCTCATCGAACTTCACTGGTGGCTTTGCAATATGGAAGCCTGGAATGGGAAAGCGATTTTCGGATCTCAACCAGATTTTATTCTGGAATCTGATGCCAGCCTCTTACGTTGGGGTGCTACTTGCGCCCACACATACACAGGGGGTCTCTGGTCCCCATCAGAACAGGCACTTCACATAAATTGTCTCGAGCTCATTGCCGGATCCTTCGCGATCCGCAGCTTTGCCAAGGAAGTCTCCAACTGCTCTCTGGTACTTTGGATGGACAACATCTCCACAGTACGGTATGTAAACCGACTCGGAGGTTCCAAATCGAAACTACTGTCAGACCGCACCAAGGATCTGTATCAGTTTTGCTTAGACAGGAATCTGTCCATTCGGGCAGAATATCTCCCAGGACCCGACAACTTAGACGCGGACTGGTTTTCATGTCACTGGAGGGATGCCAGCGACTGGCAATTAGATCCTCTCCTATTCCACCACATTCACCTATTGCGGGGACCCCTCACACTCGACCTCTTCGCGTCTCGGCTGAATCGTCAGACAGATGACTTTTTCAGCTGGTTACCAGACCCTCTGTCTCTGGAAGTCAACGCCTTTCTCCAACCTTGCCACGGAGCGGGGCCTATGCCTTCCCTCCTTTCTCAATGATTCAAAGGACCACCAGGTCAAGTCACAAAGGGTCAGGATTGTGATAATTACTCCTCTATGGCGGGCCCAGACACGGTTCCCCACTCTCCTGGAACTTTCAACAGACTATCCCATCCTCCTACCTCGCTCATTTCGGGTCCTCAGTAACCCAACGGGCGATTACCACCCGCTCGCCTTACAAGGCCATCTCCAACTGGTAGCCTGGACAGTTTCAGGGGAGCTTGGCATGTCGCAGGACTTTCAAGCACTGCTCGAACACTCCTGTGGGATTCATGGGCTCCAGGGACCAGACGAACCTACCTCTCCGCATGGCGAATTTGGGTCAGCTTGTGTCTGGAGAGGGATTTCGATCCTGTTTCAGCATCTCTTTCACTCGTTCTAAATATTTTTTCATCACTTTTCGATCAGGGTAAATCATACCGATCGAGCAATATTTTTCGTTCTTCCATTTCGGCAGGCCATGACACTATTGACAATTCCTTGGTTGGGAAACACCCTTCCGTGTGCAGACTTTTACGGGGCATTCGTTTGACGAGGCCACCCTCTGCCAAATACTCTAAGTTCTGGGATATATCTTGAGTCTTTGCGCTGTTGGAGTCCTGGCCTCCTAACGAGGCCTTATCCCTTCGCCAACTCTCTGCGAAACTTGCCCTGCTACTGTGTCTGGTGTCCTTCCGCAGAGTTTCTGACGTTCAAGTCTTTGACTCACACGCTGTCACCTTCGCACCAGATGGTGTCAGATTTACCATTACTAGGCGCACTAAGGCAAATTCCTCGTCGGTTTTTTATCTGAACTTTCCCGATAGGCCAGCTCTCTGTGTGGCTCTGTGTACCCGTTGTTACACTGAGAACACTGCCGCTCTATGTTCCCCTACCGGTCCCCTTTTCGTCTCTTACGTTAGACCTCACAAACCGGTCTCTTCCCCCACTATCGCTCGCTAGATAAGATGGTCGCTTACCCAGGCAGGAATTGATAGATCATTCGGAGCCCACTCTGTTAGGGGTCGGCTGCATCCTCTGCCTTTTGCGCCGGCAGCTCACTGGCAGATATTTTGTCCTGCGTAGATTGGTCAAGGGAATCTACCTTTCGAACTTTTTATTTTAAACCAACACCACATGCGGCTTGTTCCATTATTCAAGAGCGTTAAAACAGCAAATATGAAGCCTCCTGTCTTGCCATAAAATTAGGGATTATTCTAGCTTTCAGTGAATGAATAATCTAAATTTTATTAAAGACAGGAGGCGAATATTTTCCCTCCCTTCATTCACTCTGGAACCCACCCTCAAGGTAAGTCTTCTGATCCATGCTTAATGTATGATACCATCTCTTGCATCTAAATTTGCAGGTATACGATTTGTTAGACTAGTAGATATGAACCCACATCACATGGTGCTGACATGTCCTCTTTAACTCTGCCAGATAATCTGAGCTATAGTTAGAAGTAGGGGGTATAACTATATTTTTCTCTTGTCCAAGAAACCATACTTTCACAAAGTCTCTCTTCTTCTCTTTTAGTGTAAAGATCTCAGGTTATTTCGATCAACTTCACGTTTACATGGTTGACTTCATTTCGAGTTAAAGCCTCGGAAAATGTTCCAGTTTACATGGTTGACTCTGCTACTGACCGGCATCACCAAGAAAGAGGAAGTGGGAGGAGTCTGATGACACTATATTGTTCCTGTAATATGTTATGATTGGTTGAATTTTTTCATACAATATTGTTAACTGTTTCTTTGCTGCTGGGAGTTACAGTAAAGAAAGATAAGCAAATATGAAGCCTCCTGTCTTTAATAAAATTTAGATTATTCGTTCACTGAAAGCTAGAATAATCCCTAATTGAGCATAAAAGATATAATTGCTTATAAAAGTCTAGCAGACTGAAACAAAATGCTAATTTACCAGCAATATATATATATATATATATATATATATATATATATAATATATATATATAGTGAGCGAAAAAGTGGAATAGTGGTTGATGCAAGATACATCAGGCCTGATTTGCTAAACGGCAACCAGGGAATTTTCAGTTAAATGCCCCAGGGAGAGATGTTAAAGTTTGCAATATACATTGCTGATGCTCTGCAAAACATGGTATGGGTCCCTGGGGCGGAGCATTTGGAGAGCAGGGTGAACCAATGCTCCAACAGCACTTGTTGCTGTGTAACATACCAGAATTTGGATTTAACTTAAGTGTTAACTAATTGGCACTCACCTGTAGCTGGTCAATTAGCAGACAGGCCTTTAAAAGAAGAGATCAGCCTGCTGCAGAGTGAGGGAGAGAAAGCCAGCTAGGAGAGCTGAAGTAGAGCAAACAACAACAATTGTGTTTATTGCAAAGCTATTTCGTTTTTTGGGGAAAATTGGTAAGTGGGAAAGCCACCCAATTACAGATAGTGATTTCTGTCTAGTAAGAGCTCAAGTAAGAGCAAGGAATTTTGTTTTGTTTATTATTATTTAAAGCAGCTGTTTTTCCTATCAAATAAAAAAAGGAAAGCCAAACTGAATGTGTCCTGGGCTTTGTATACCCTAGAAGGCTGTGGTTTATTGTAAGATCTGTGACAAAATCCTACCTGTAAAAGAGGTGGTTTGTTACGATATGTATGGTCTCCACAACTCTAGACTCTAAGAGACTGAATTAAAGGGAAAGAAGGAAGAAAAGAAAGGAAAGGCGAAAAATCCAATAAAGAAAAAGAAGGGGTAATAAACGGAAAAAAGAGAGGGGGGAAAAAAGAAGAAAAAGGGGAGAAAAATAAAAAGGTGAAAGCAGAAATCTATAAGATATTATTTCTATCTTCTCTCTGGCTAACTGTTGTCAGTTCATTGTATTTGCCAAAATGGCTAGTAAATAGCAGAGAGGCAAAAGAGGCAGAAGAAAACCCCAAAAGTAGAAAAAGAAAAAAAAGATTATCTGGATTTTTCTCTCCTATATCCTCACCTTCCCCTGCTCCTCAAAAAAAAAAAAAAGCTGACGTCTCTACCTTCAGATGTATTAAAGTTGGATTCGACAATACTTCTCTGCATAAAAGATCCAGAAATACAAGCAGATATATCATCAGAGATGGATAACTCACCGGTTAGAGGAAATTCTGAGATCCTGTCTAAATGACCAAATTGAAAAAATCACCCTGTAAATACAGACAACTGCTCAGAGCCTTAGAGAAGATTTTATTAATTTGGCTATGAGAGCAGTGGAAGAAAAACTAGAAGCAGTAAACGTTCATTGTAATAAAATTAAAGAGAAACAACTTCAAACAGAAAATATATCAGAATTGGAAGCAATGATCACAGATTTTAGAAGATCGAACAAGACACAATAATATCAGAGTAAGAAACATTCCTGAATTGATTACATCAGAAATATTGGAACATATCTCCTGGACTTATTCGCGGCAATGGGAGTAAAGACCTAAGATAACAGTGAAATCATGGAAAGATATCACAGATTGGCTAAACCAAGAATAATTCTAACAACCGTGCCTAGAGATGTTATAATTTGCTTCAAGTCATTTAAAGTTAAGATGCAAATTACAAGATCCTTTATGATCCAAAAAGTATCAACAACTAAAGATATTTCAAGATATATCCTATAACACAAGAAAGGCACGGCAAGTCTACAGACTGTCAACGACTATATTAAGAGACCTTGGTCTGAAATTTAAATGGAGTTTTCTGGCAAGTGTGATGGTGATACAGGATGGCCAGAGGTTAAACTTCAAATCTCCAGCATGTCAAGACTGGCTTGACAAATGTTAAAAACATAAAAACTATTTTTCAATAGAATACAGATATCTGAAATTATATATAATTATTCAATTATTTTTTCTCCTTTTTTTTTTTTCTTTCTCTGTATGGATTATGGAAAATGAACTGACTCTATCGGATATATCAGACGGGGCAATTAATTCTCTACTACTTTTTTTTTTTTTTTTATGCAGTGAATTATAGTCTAAAATCAATACTTCCTATATTATGTTTTTATTTATATAGCGCCAACAAATTCCGCAACGCTTTACAGCGGGTGGACAAACAAATATGTAGTTGTAACCAGACAAGTTGGACACACAGGAACAGAGGGGTAGAGGGCCCTGCTCAATAAACTTACATGCTAGAGGGAGTGGGGTAAAGTGACACAAAAGGTAAGGATAGTATTAGACTAATGACAGTTGCAAGAGCGGGATCAGTCAGGAGCTATTAACAGTTTAATTGATACGCTTTTATGAAGAAGTGGGTTTTAAATGATTTTTTTTGGAGTGGAGACTGGGTGAGCATCTAACGGAGGAGGGAAGTAAGTTCCACAGGAACAGTGGAACCCTCAAAAAGTCTTGAAGGTGAGCATCAGAGGTGGGAGTACGGACAGAAGATAGACGTAAGTCTTCAGCAGAGCGTAAGGGCCTAGACAGGACATACTTATGTATTAGGGAGGATAGATAGGTGGGAGTAGCATTATGTAGAGATTTGAAAGCAAGAACCAGAATTTTAAATTGAGTCCTATATCTTACAGGAAGCCAATGTAGGGACTGACAGAAGGGTGATGCAAGCTGCATTCATTATGGACTGTAACTGCGCAAGTTGGGAGCACGTAAAATCACTTAAAAGCAGATTACAGTAGTCAAAGCGAGAAAGGACAGTGGAATGGACCAGTACTTTAGTTGCATCTGGTGTTAAGTAGTGTCAGATGCGCGCAATGTTTTTGAGATGGAAGCGACAGGATTTGGTGATAGACTGAATATGAGGGTTGAAGGAGAGGTCGGAGAACACTTAGGCAGCGAGCCTGCATGGTGGAGCTGATGGTAGCTCCGTTAACTTGGAGGGAGACAGACACAGGAGTAGCAACACTTGAGGGAGGAAAGACCAGAATTTCAGTTTTGGTCAAGTTCAGTTTAAGGACGTGGGCAGCCAACCAGTTAGAAATAGCAGAGTAGCAGTCAGAGACACTTGTCAAGAGGGACAGGGAGAGATCAGGAGAGGGCAGATTTGCATGTCATCCGCATAGAAATGATATTGGAAGCCAAAGGAGCTAATGAGTTTACAAACGGAGGCAGTATAGATGGAGAATAGTAGGGGACCAAGGACTGAACATTGGGGGACACCAACAGAGAGGAGTTGGGGAGAAGAAGCAGAGCCAGAGAAAGAAACACTGAAAAAGCGCTGGGAGAGGTAGAAGGAGCACCAGGAGAGGGCAATATCTTGTACACTGATATTGCGGAGGATGAGAAGAAGCTGTTGATGATCAACCATGTCAAAAGCCGCAGAATGGTCAAGGAGAATTCGGATAGAGTAGTGACCACGACATTTTGCAGCGAGTAGATCATTGGATACTTCGGTCAGTGCCGTTTCCACAGAGTGCTTAGCGCGGAAACCAGACTAAAGCAGGTATAGCAAAGAGTTGGACTCAAGGAAGTTTGTCAATCTCACATACACAACTCTTTCAAGGATATATAGAAGTATGCCCTCTGATTCAACTCAGGGGCTCTCGGAAGGAGCAGGAGAAAGAATGAAGAGAGAAACAGGGAGAGGGAAATAAATAATAGTATTTTAGGATAAGATGGAGTAAAAATATGGGGAACTAGAGATTAATGAACCTCACTAAAGAAAAAAATATATTACTTGAGTGGGAAATTTATTTGGGCACAGGAACAAAAGGAAAGGGAAATAAGGAAGGTAGGGGCTAAAATATCACACTAGTATTAAATTAGTTCAAATTAAATTAGGGAAACTAAAGGGAATATCACTTATACCGATATTTAATAATAGAACAGGATATATAATATGTATTTCATAAATTTAACAAGTAACAAGTTTAAGAAGAATAAAGGTGTACACACTGGAGAATGCACTTTAACCCCTCAAGGACTGAGCCAAATGTATACGTTGTGAACAAAACAAAACGTAAACAAAACCTGGCATTTGCGCTACATGTCTGTCCAACCGTAATTCACATCTTTCATATTAAATGCACCCATCCTTATTATATATCATTTTTGTAACGGACCGTTTTGCACAAAAGGGGAAAAAACCGCTTAGACGATAATCCCCCTTTTCAGAGACAGGAACAGCTACGGTATAATCACCAAAACTCACGAACCGCCAATAAGTGAATGCTCCAAACTCCCGAACGGCATACAAGGGAATAAGGTAGCACTTCAAATAAACAAACAGGAACCATACGAATAGCTGCTAGCAGGCGAACAGGAAAAGCTTCCAAGCGGCTTACACTCCTGGCAATCAGTCCTTAGCAGCATACAGTAAATCCCCCCAAAGACGAGACAAGGCTCCGTGTTGAGGGTCAAGCAGTGGTCTGTTTAATGAGGGCTACCTGCCCAGTATTTATGCAGGTCTCCCACCTGGTGGACACTCCCCTAGGGGACCAAATGGGAGACTGTGACAAGGGACAGACAAGTATACAAATAGGACACACAGTCACAGTATATTCCCACAATGCATCCTGGCTTCCTCCCCTCTGCCCTGGGAGATAATTGGGAAGTAACTCAATTATCTCCCAAGACAAAGGCAAAACTCCATTACACACGTGGGAACACAAAACCAGCATAATACTTTAAAATGCACAAAGTAACATTTACTACATAAAACACAGACATGTAACATATCCCCAGATAGCTCAGGTCTGAGTGCACATTATTAGGTGAATGGCACTCAGACTACACGA